AACCGAACACGAACGAACAAAGCTTGTGTTCGTGTTCGGTTCATTTAAAATTTAGTTTGTTTGAAATAAGCTCGTGTTCGTTTCTTAACGAACGAGCCGAACACGAACCGAACACGAGCTGTTCGCGAACGACGAGCCAGTTTGACATCCCTAATATTAATATATAAAAATAATATTATATATTAATTATATAACTTATATTATATAAATATACAATATCTATATTAGTATATTACTACTATAGTATATTAATATATTATTATTATTATTTTATTATATATTATAATTTATAAAATTTAATGTTTTAAAATATAATAAATTTTTTATATATAATTATTTTATATTATTTTATATTTCAAACAATAACGATTCGAACACGAACGAACGCATCACTGTTCGTGTTTGGTTCGTTTCACTAACCGAACAAAAAAAATTTGTTCGCGTTTGTCTCGTTTACTTATCGAACGAATCAAACACGAACTCATTGACGAACCGAACACGAACTGTTCGCGAACAACGAGCTTTTTTGACAGCCCTAGTTATCATTGGCTGTTCATTTCAATTGGCAACTGCTACAGTATGATGTTAAGAATGCATTCCTTCATGGTGACCTAAATGAGGAAATCTGCATGAACATCCCTCCGAAATTTGAAGAGGACACAGGCAACAAGGTGTGCAAGCTGAAAAATGTCATTTATGGGTTAAAACAATCTCCTAGAGCATGGTTCTCCTAGAGCATGGTTTGACATGGTTTGACAGATTTGCAAGAGTCATGAAGGAATCTGGGTATAAACAAAGCCATGGTGACCACACTCTTTTCATTAAACATTCAACTGTAGGGGGAGTGACTGCTCTTTCAGTTTATATTGACGACATCATAGTGATTGGAAATGATGAGAAAGAGAAGCATGAATTGAAGCTGAGACTAGTAAAAGAATTTGAAACAAAGGAACTGGGGAAATTAAAGTCTTCCTCGGTCTTGAGGTGCATATTACACACAGGGGATCTTCATATCTTAGCAGAAGTACGTGATTGATTTATTGGCAGAAACAGGGAAAACTGGGTGTAAGCGGTGTAAGCCACCAATAGATCCAAACTATAAGTTGGGAGAAGCTAAAGAAGAACCAGCTGTGGATAAAAGAATGTACCAGAGATTGGTTGGCAGACTACCAGAGAGATTGGTTGGCAAACTCATATACCTTGCTCACACTCGACCAGACATAGCATATTCTGTAAGTATGATCAGTCAATTCATGCATGATCCAAGAGAACCTCATCTTTAGGCTGCCTACAGGGTACTGCATTACTTGAAAGACAATCCGAGAAAAGAAATCTTGTTCAAAAGGAATGACACTCTTACTCTGGAAGCCTACACCGACGTTGACTATGTTGGCTCCCTAGTGGATAAAAGATCAACTACAGGATATTGTACTTTTCTTGGAGATAACCTAGTGACATGGAGGAGCAATAAGCAAAATGTGGTGGCAAGGTCATCTGCAGAATCAGAGTTCAGGGCTATTGCTCAAGGATTATGTGAATTACTGTGGCTGAGAATCATTTTGGATGAATTGAGAATGATTTGAGAAGAATTGAGAATCCAATGGGAGGGTCCTATGAAGCTCTACTGTGACAACAAGTCAGCTATTAATATAGCTCATAATCCTATACAACATGATAGGACAAAGTATATTGAAATTGATAGGACATTTCATCAAAGAAAAACTGGAGGAAGGGTTAGTGTGTATGTCATATGTTCTATCAGAAAGGCTATGTTCCATCAGAAATACAATTAGTCAATGTTCTAACAAAGGGGTTAAAAGTTTCCATGATCTTGTATCTTGTATCCAAGCTGAGAATGGAAGATATCTATTCCTCAGCTTGAGGGGGAGTGTCGAGATGTGTCTGAGATGGAAATAAGGTTGGGAGAATTAATTGTAATTCCCTTAAATTGAGGAAATTATAATTAATTTGTAATCCCTTAAATTAAGGGAATTAGTGAAATAGTTTCCTAATTAATTTGTGTAATCCCTTAAATTAAGGGAATTAGTGAAATAGTTTCCTAGTTTTTTCTACTTGTAATCTCCTATATAATACCTTGTATTATCAATTCAAAGATTAAACTATAAAGCATACTAATTGAACAAAAAGATTAAAAGGAATAAAATGCTCTGAAACAAAAAGGTAAAAGGCGTTGAAGTTACAAGATTTACAGTTAATAGGCAAAGTACTTAGCAAAAGAAGGTAGAATAAGAAAAATTTTATCAAGAAAATGCATTAGACTCTACCTGGAAAACTACACTGCCAACTTCAAAAGAAATGATAGACTTGATTGCAAGTAGAAAACCATGTCATTCGTCATCCTCTTCCTCCTGATTTTTCATATGATTGATCTTTTGTGCACGATACATCTCAGCAACCTACCAAAGAAAATTTTGTAATCTCCGTAAGGAAAATAGGCCCACGACAATAAAGCTGGCCAGCTTAAATGACATCAAACAAATACCTGCTCAGATGTTGTGGCTTGTTCTGGGTTTTTGTCATCTCGGACATGTTGTAGACGAGGAAATCGCAGAGAAATACCCTAAATGTATTTTAAAATTAAAAAATATATTGTTGCAATTTTATTACATTTTGGCAAACTAAAGCATGATCCCCCAAAAAGAGAAAAAAAGAAAAAAGTGACCATTTCAGAACCTTATTTGGATCCACAATGCCAAAAGCGGCACGATGAACAGGACTAATGCTCAAATCCGCTGCCTTTACTTCCCAAACCTTGAAAAAAAATGAAAACATCAATCAATGAAATTTTCAGTGGAAAAATAGAATCAGTATCAAAACTACAAAAAGGAATGTGCATTAAAATAATCATCTTCAAGCATCCACCATAATAAACAATATGCAAAAATAGATCATCTCAAAGTTCTAAATGTTTTTTTTGTCAGCACTTGTAGCAGTGTCACGGAGTCTAGCAAGAATTTGGAGACCTATATTGGTATTTACATTTCAGAGTTAGGGCTGGTCGACTTGTAAAAAAAAGTAGAAGCCTACAATTTATCTACAAATGAAGGTTTTTGCAATGATCCATTCAGTTGGGATGGAACCTATTTACCACCAGAAAAGGGTAACATTTCCAGTTCATCTATCTATTATGGTTCTTTGTAATGATCAAATCGATTGAAATGAAATGTTTTTATCGAAGCACGAAGAAGGAATCACAAGAATGAGTTAATTACTTAAGTGCTAATTGATTGATTACAATTTGATAAGATTCTAATACGTCCTCAAGATAGCCAAAAACGCTCAAGTGGAAAGAAGTTTCTGATGGGACTGTCATCCCTGATCCACTAAACGAAATAATAGTAACTACAATGAAAATTCCACAAATAAATGCAAAATAAAAAAAAAAAAATTCGCAATCATTCAGTTGCTACACTTTCATATCATTCAACTAACCCCATGCCCAACCCCGTATCATAAAGGATGTTTTAAACCAAATGGGTGATCTAGGAAAACTGTAATTTGAAGTAGGCATGTAAAGGTACAAAAAAATAATAGAACTTTGATAATACATCGCTATAAGCAAGGTACTCAATAGTATGTACAAATTATTAGATATGACGATTCATCATGTGTTCTCACATTTTAAATCGCTTGAACGGTCTGTCAAGCGCCAAAATAGAACATGAACCATTTGCACATTAAATAGCATTCACCAAAAGCCACAGCCACCTAAAATGGCATGGGAATGTCTTACCGTCCCAGTATCACGAGATCGTGATACTACCGTAATCATAGGAAGCTGAACCAAGAGATCCCGTTTTATTTTTTTCTTCCTTATCTTCTACAAGTTTCCCTCTTTGTTTCCTTCCTTTCTAATCCTTTCCTATTTTCTTAATTTCCAATTAGGATTTTTTTTTTCTATTGGGAGATTTTCACTTCGTTTGAGAGAGCTTCATCTTTCATAAAAACTCCTTTAAAAGTAGCTTCAAAATAAACAACAATATAAAATTACGGTTATTAAAATTGATAATCTGTTCGAATAATTTTTTATCATTTTTAATCATGAGTTCTCAGATACAAGAATAAAATATCCCTGATATCCACCCCCTGCGTCTCTCCGTCTCCATGTGCTTTGAGATGCATAGCTGCCGGCAAAAGGAAAGTTGAGGGCGAATGAGGAGCTAGCGAAGGATGGAACAGAGGACTTCCAGAGCATAGGAGCAGCCATGGAGAAGGTGTCGAAGAAAAGCTCGATACCATTCATGATTTATGTGAAGGAACGTTTGTATAAGTATGTGTTTCTATCGAGGAGTAAATGGAACTGTCATACTTCATTTTCACAGCAACCGGAACAGAGTTGATGGCAGGACGACCAGTCTGCGACTTTAAGATCTCTGCTCGGAGTGAAAACTGACAGTATTTGAATTCTCTTCCATGCATAAAGCTCTTAAATTTTTATTAATAGATCCAATTTGCATGCATTTTCAGTCAGCTATCAAGGGAAGAGCATTCATTGCAATAGAATGCTCAAAGGTGTCTCCATCAAATCCGCTCAGCCTCGAAGCAAAACCTCTCTTGAAGGAGTTACTATCCAAAGAAATCAAATGTTTGGATGTTGTTTTAATCCATTCCTACACTTATCCTCACCACAAAATCATGAAAAAAAAAGCTTTGAGCATGGGTTCCAGTCTTGCTTCATTGTTTTCTTTTTTTTATTTTAATGATCTATGCGGTGCCTCAAGGTCTAATAACTAGCATCAATGCTTACTTAACTTTGATCATCAAAGAGTACTTAACTGGTTTCATGTCAAGATTTGAGGGGGGCAGAGAGAAGGTGAATATGTTATTCAAGCTATCAGATGTGATCGGGCTTCGAAGCAGAGATTTCCTGGCCATAAAGCCATTCTTTCAGAGCTTGCCAGAGGAGTCGTCAGCTATTCTCAATCTTCGGGTTCGAAACAACGAAACCTTTGATCGGAGTGTAAGTGGATGTGGATGACGGAGATAGGACAAGGTGGAGAATACCAGCAAGGTATTTTGGACATTCGCTTTCCGAAACATCTGAATGACGATCCGAAATAGCGGAATAGAGGACCAAACTCGCAATCCAAAATGGCAAAAAAATAACGTTGCGGCAGAAGCAATTTTGGAGAAGATGATATGCCAAACATACGACGGGTGTTCTCTCAACTCACATTGTGTCTCCACGGAGGTCGGTCACCCTTTCAAACAAGGCCATTATATGTGTGGTAATAAGGTTTTGAAGTTTTAGTTCTCTAATTTGATGAATCTAAAAGTGTTTAATCTTAAATTTATTCTCCGGAGTATTGCATCATTTCTTTTTGCAAATGATGTGTGTGTATCGCTTAGGAATAGGTGGTGTAACCCCCTCGCCGCCCATATATCATTGTATCACCGTCCGACATGCTGATTTTCAACCGAGAAGCTGTCCAAGCTGTTAGGAAGCTGCCGTTTATCCCTTCCGATTAGCTTTCCAGCCACCCATAACATTTTGAATCGTCGTTGGATTGTTGTTTGCAGCTGGAGCAGCCACCGAACGACACCAAACTGCAGTTCAACAGCCGCCTTATCCCTGCAATCCACTCCAAATGCCGTCGAACTCACATATTAACTTTCCCTTGCCATTACCAATCACCTCCCCTCTATACTCGCTTCCCGAGTATCACCTAGGAGCCCTAGATCGGTATCATTTGATATCAAAACCCAGCAAGCCCTAGAATTTTTAGGGTTTTGTCTTTCTTATCCCAATCAAAAATTCCACAAAAAGAAAAAAAAATCTCACGATTCTCATATCCTTCCCCGCACAATTCTAAGGCCTAATCCTAAATTTTTTAAATTCAATTTTCTACCTCTACCAAAATTTCACCTTGACACCTACCACCAAAACCTAAGCCCCCCACCAACCTTGAATTGCAAGGAGGTGTTCAGAAGCTTACAACGGAAAACATGCAAATAGAAATTCGTCATTTCAAATAGAGGCTTGACGCCTGTGAGAGGAGAAAATCTAGTGAAACCATCTATAGCCACAACAATGAATCGTTAGATCGAAATGAGGAAACGAATCACTTCCACCAGAAAATTTTCACTGAAGAATGACCACTACCTCGATTCAGCATGTACTAACAGCGGAGAAGTCATGAACATGGAGTGAAGTTGGATTTACCTGATTTCGACAGCCACATGAACCCATATGAGTTTACTGAATGGCTTCTAACAATGGATCAAACGTTTGAGTACAAGGGTGTTCTTCAAGACAAGAGCGTTAAACTGATAAATATCAAGCTTAGGAAAAATGTTTCATTGTGGTGGGAAAGCCTGAAGCAACTTTGACAACGGGAAGGAAAAGATAAAATTGCTACCTAGTCCAAAATGAAATGAGAGATGAAACGCAAATACCTTCCCCTGCATTATCAACAGGATCTGTTTTTAAGAATCTATCATCTACACCAGAGAGATTCTTCTGTAGAGAAGTACAAAACTGAGTTCGAGTAACTTATGTTGAAGTGTGGGTTAGTGGAGCTCGAAAAGAACACCATAGCTCAATATCTAATGAGATTGAGATCGTCTATTGGCAAAGTGGTACAGTTGCAGTCTTATTGAACATTACAAAATGTCTAGACCTTAGCTTTGAAGGTGAAGAAACAACACATTAGTATCAGGTCCACGCCACCCTTAAAACAAGATTCAATCATCGGTTCAAACAACAAGAGTACACCCAATGCAACGCCCAAACCGACCCAACCACAGGACAAACTAGTTCAGAGTAGAGAACATGTGGGAGAAAATAGGTGGGAAACAACCAACACTCCCAAATTCTCCCCAGCCAGAAAGTGTGTCAAGTGTCACAATTTTGGGAATAGTTCATCAGATTGCCCAAATAAGAATATGATCTCTTTCATTAAGCAGAGAGCGGTTGAAAAAAGAGACAATGACATAGGAGAGGATGAAACATCAGAGGTGAGTTTCAATTTCAAGTCGAGGCAGAAGAGATGCTAGCGATTCAAGTTGAGCCCATGAGAGAGACTCCAATTAGATTAACATTGGTTATTCTAGAAGATAATGAATATGGTGAACTGGTATCTGAAAAGGGGTATCCCCTATCGAAGGAAATGTCAGATACCATGATTGACACTTTACGTATTGGGTGGTTACCACTAAGATTTCACTCCATAGTTAGTTTCTCCATACATACTTTTTTATCAGAAACGCTTGGTCAAGTATCAATGGGAAATGCAGGTTATATATTTAATGGCTAGAGGCTCAGTCCATGAGAGTGCCTTTCTATGAGCAATTTCATCTCAAGTTGTACTAAGGAAGGATAATTACTTATTCTATCATAATCGACTTTTGAATGAGGTATGTGTTTTGGAGTTACATGAAATAGACGTGAGCATAGACTTTGCAATGGAACTGGCTCTGACTCGGCAACATGGTGACTTTATTATGGTGATGATATATCGATTCTAGAAGTCTCCTAGGAAGAAGACGAAGCTCCTCCTACTTAGGGAGAATGGTGTGGGAGCGTCTTACTGTGCTAGTATTGGGGGATCACAATATACCTGCGGTCACGGAAGATGGGACAGAGGGATTCCGTTTTCTTTTGTATTTTCTTTTCATTTTCTACAAATTTCATTCTTTCATTCCTTCCTTTCTAGTGATTTTCTATTTTCTTATTTCTAATTAGGAATTTTTCTATTGAGAGATTCTATGTGTTATAATAGGGTTTTCAAGTTTTAATTTTCTGATTTGATGAATTGAGAAGTATTTTCTCTAAAATTTGCTCTCCATAATGTTTTATCATTTTATTTTGCAAGTGATGTGCCTGTATTTTAAATAGGAACAGCTTGTGGAACCCCCTCGCCGCCATATATTGCCAAATCGCCATCCAACCTGCTGATTTTCAGGGAAACCGCCATTTATCCCATCTGGTTCACTGTCCAGCCACCTGTTCCTCAACGAATTGCCTTTTGATCGCTGTTTGCAGCCGGAATAGCCGCCGACCGACAGCGAGCTGCTGTCTAACAGCCGCCTAATCCCTATAATCCCTATAATCCGCTCCAAGCCGTTGAACTTGCATATTACCTTTCCCTTGCCATTCCCCAATCACCTCCCCTCTAAAGCCACTTTCCGAATAACATCAAGGATCACTAGATCTGTATCATAAAAGGTGCAAAGAATCCTGGGTCACAACTAGCCATGCAAAAATGTGATAAAGAATGGTGACTCCTGGACATCAAATGGCATACTTTCACCTAAACGAACGACTTTGGAATAGCTATGGTCACAATTGTCAAAGCTTTTGGGAAACTTCATACATAAGCTAAATTTCATGTGATTGATGCCGATACTTTGTTTAAAGTTCTCTTGGGTCCGTCGGGACTACGTGTACGACGTGGTTTTATTTACATTGTGTCAATGCATGCATTTAAAGAATTGGAAAAAATTCATGATTCAATATTCAACTTTTCACAATCCATGAAAAACAAATCTATGAGGTTTTCAAATATTTCATTTTAAAAAAAACCCAAGCCACCACAACCTTTCAAAATTATGGCATCAACTTCAAAACTGTTAAAAAAAAAAAAAACCAAATAAGAGGAGGAATTAAACAATATTAAAAAATGAAGGCAGCACCGACTATTGCTAAAAGAAATTATACACAGCTTAAATTGAAGAGAGTTGCTCCTCACTTGGGAAGTGATACAAAAGACGAGGATGATGCTCCTAAAAAGATCAATGGAAAATATAGGCTTTCAGCTAAAGAAAATTAAAGGCTAAATATTCCCAATCAAATTGTGATTTCAATCTACTTATGAAAGTAAGGTTCAATGTGTCTCTTCAAGGAGAATGCCCAATCTATCAGTATAAAATATATATTCATCATTATGTCTATCCCTCAAAGTTTCAAAGAGATTACCCCACACAAGTTCCATATTGTAAGAGAATTGAAGACATGTTATGTACATCATATGATGAGAAATGGTGGACCAATAAATTTATTATACAATTCTGCGAAGTACTAAAGGGCAGAACTTCATAGCATCTACAAAAATGCATTTATCTTATTCCGTGAAGATCCTAAAAAATAATGAGCAATCAGAAAGTTCATTCTAGAATCAATAAACAACAACCTTGATAATTTAAAATGATTTAAAGGCAAAAATGTCTACATGTATCATGAAGAAGTGATAATCAAGCCACTAGATGCCTTGGATTTATTTCCTCAAGTATCCTCAATAGCAAAAAAGAGTTATGGAATTAAAGTTAATGATGATGATCATTTTTTATGAACTCAACCTTGCAAACAACCAAAGCATAAAAGTTAAGCCATCATTTGGAGAGCTTAAAGATGATAGGCAAACTTCCATGACGGATGAGTTAAAAGAATTTAATTTGAAATTTGAGAAAGGCCCTCGCCTGATCTTCATCAATGCTCTCATTTATGAAACTAAAAGTGAAATGAAAGAGCTACTTCGAAATTCATGAATTTCTTAAGCTAGACATATAAATGCCCGATTTAACCCTTGGTATAACAATTCACGGACTACACATTAATCTGAAAGCAGTACTTCGTAAACAAGCTCTGAAGAAAATAAGACTTCAGATAAAGGAATGGGTAACAATATAAAACAAAAAGCTCATCAAAGAAAAAAATTATTTGAGAAGAAAATATGCCGTTTAGATCACCAACATTATACTCATGAAAAAAAAGTCAAATTCAAGTGTATGACTTCCATGAGCTTATAAAACATTTCCCAAAGATAACTTTTCCAATAATAGATTTGTTGGCAGACAACTTTTCAAAGTATGACATGTTCTCATTTACGGATAGATCGTCAAGATATAGCCCTATTAAAATGGCTCCCGCATATGAGAATCATATATCATTCAAGACACATTGACAGGTTTTGTTATATTGACGTGTCTTTCGGTTTAAAGAATGTTGAAGCAACTTATGAAAGAGCCTATAACATGCATCTTTAATGACATTGTTCACCAAAAAGTAGAATGTTTGTTCATGATATTGTTGTCAAAAGCAAAAATCACAAAGATCATCATGATCTAAAAATCATATTCAAAAGATTTAAAAAGTTCGATCTTAAGATGAAGCCCCTTAAATATGTTTCTGAGATATTAAAAAAAATTATCAGCTACCTCATACATCATTGAAAAATTGAAGTTTGTTTTGATAAAATCAAAGCAATTGTGAACATGAAATTGCTGAAGAGTCTTCATCAGTTTTATTGCAAGTACAACTTACGTTCATTCGATAATTTATATCAAACATAACAGGAAGAGATCAACCTATTGCAAATTTGAAGAGGAATGTTTGCTTCATGTGGGTCCAAGAACACTAAAAAGCCTTTGATAGTATCATTAATAATAATCGTTCTTTTAAAAGCTCACTTTGAAGGCTAATTTTCTATACTGGAAGTAAGGCTTTCCTACAGTGCTTTCAAGCTAACATGAAGCCAAATCATCTTGTTTTGAAGCGCAATCCTCTCCCTTTACTTTGAAGCAATAATATAAAGACAATATATCATCTTGTTTCAAATGCTTTCAATGCTTTCAAGCTAGCTCGCACTTTATCAAGACAATATATAAACAAAGAATCACATTCCTAGCACGGGTTACAATTCATTATTATAAAAATAAAACTGAAACTTGATAGAATATGCTTTACCACTAAATGAAAAAGTCTCCCATATAATTATTTCAATTCTTCCGGCAATGAATTTCTTGAAAACAATGTTTACATTTTGTAGTCCTAATAGGGAATCTTATTTCTTTATGTGCCGTCACAACAAAAAAAAAACTATGCATTCCTTATTAAAAAACTAAATCTGAAACTCTTCAGCACTCTATTAATATGAATATTTGCGTTGGGTTTTATTTTTATTCTTTACTTTTGACTATTGCCACGTGGAAAGTCACTTAAAACTATATCAAATGACTAGTTTAATTCATTTCATGTTAATCTCTTTTTTTTTAGTAAATTTACAAAACTATAATTTGGAGATGAACTTCGACATACAATGTATATACAATTAATCAAGCCCATATTTTCTAAATAACTTATTATTTACTACTTAAAACTCCAATATCTTCGTTATTTGATAAATAATAACCGAAATATAATTGCAAGAAGCTTACAATTTATGCTTTCGAACTTACACTTCACTTAGCTTTTCGTACTTTTGCACTTAACTCTTTCAAACTCCCAGTTTTTAAGTCATTATGCATGCGCAATTAAATTATCACATGAATCCCTCCAGCTGATCTGTGAAATGGTGCCAGCTAGAAGATCATATGCGCACAATTGAGCTTGTATCCCTGTGTGCACTTGCATCAAAGCGAGTTGAGATGGTGGGAGTTTGGTGGATGTCAAATAGAAGATTGGCAATTCATATCAATCTTTAACCTCATCTCCGAAAAAGATGGTTAAGGTAAGTTCACGGGAATAGTATAAAGAAGATTAGGTTATCCCTTGTCCTCAACCACTTTAATTTATAATTGCAAGAGCGAAGAGTTGTTCAACTGATCATCTATTATCTACTGATACCAATCATGAATGTGCCAAGATGAATTTAGACTTGCAATATTATCATCAATAATCAGTTTTCCATTATATGTTTGCATCTTTGTGCCCGTAAAGAGGTATGATTAAAGATTAAAACTGCTAATCAAAGTAATCATAGGTCTGATACAAAGTTAATAATTGGAGAGATTAAGAATATACAAATAATGCAGATAATAAAATTAAAAAAGCAGAAAAAAGCACGCACAACACACAATTAAGGGTTTTTAAATGCACTATTAAGGATTCACAACACCCACTATTTTCAGCAATAATTCTTGGATTTTATTTTTTAAATGTAGAGAAAAAAATCAAAATGGTTTCCTAACTTTTATGGGGGCCATTTTAATCCTACGGTCTATAAAAGTACTAATTTAATCCCTAGACACTTTTAATATGGACTAAAATAGTCTCCAGTCTCTTTTAAAGGAAGAAAAATTCCAACCCCCATTAAAGGAATCTGGGCACTAGTTTAATACAATAGACTGCGACTCAAAATGGCTTCTTTACATAGAGAAATATTTTGACAATTTTCTCAAAATGAAAAAAATTAGAGCAAGAAAATTATGTAACTGAAAAAATAAAATAAAATAAAACCATGTAATAGCATATCAAAATACCTCTGCAGGTTCGAACCAGACATCAGGATTCATTGAATCAGCTACTCTGTAGTATGGCTGAAATGAGATGTAAGCCAGATATCACACGATTACAAAGAAAACAGAAATAAATAGACGGGCGCACTACAATATGACATTAAAAATTTACTTTTGGTTTTGAAATAACTTTACTTCCAAGACTTTTGGACCTCTCTTCAAGCTGCAATTCAGAAAATCCAGTACCTGGAGAATGTATAATGATTACTTTGTCAAGATCAAAAAGAAAGTTGGCAATGAAACAATTAGCCTATATGAAGAAAAAACCTCTCACCAATGTTACATATGCTTTGATATTCATCATTTTGTTCATCATAGCAAGCAAGAAGAAAAGAACCATAAACACCTGCCCCATTGCAAGGAAATCAAATGAACATTTTAACTGAGCAAAAAAAAAAAACGTACCTATTTTATTCAGAAATACAATATTGAACTAAGAGACACCAATGTGCCAATACTGGAGGAGGAAATGTTAAGCTGGAAAAATTCATTCAATAGAAGTCAATTGAAGTATTATGCAAATAGGTACCTGTGCGTTTTCCGCGGCCATGGAAGGCTGCAATGGGCACCAGATCTAAAGTGTCTCCTACACTGCATCAATGAATAACTTCACAGATAGAAAAAGCAAAAACAACTTATTAAAGGAAAAAAAATGAACTCAAAAATAGGAGTTTGCATTCATGAACATGGTTTACAACAAAATTAGTCATCTGGCAACATATAGAAACTCAGCAACCAAGTTAATCTTCACCTACATGAAAGTAGGCAGAATAGAATGTATAATAAGCTTGACTTGTCATGTGCATGTAGAATGGAAATGGTATCAGAAAGAAGGGAGTAGATCCCTAGTCAAACCAAGTTCGTTACGACAACTCGTGATTCATAAAGTCTGCATTAGGATTTCATATATGTTAGGCAAATAGTCACATTTTCCTACTGATGTTTCTTTACTAAAATAGTTGGCTATTGTCAACCGTCTCATGTGTATTAAAATATATGCCCATTAAAGGCACCACCATGTATCCAATGCGAATCAACCTCGTCGCATAATAGCAAGAACAGCCCTTAATTATTTTTTAAGGGAATTTTACATATGTAGCACAAAATTCTTACGTATTTACATATCTCACACCTAAACTTTCATATTTACATAAACAGAAGTTAGATGCTTTAATCCTATGAAAAGATGTGTTTCACTTTTTAAAAAATGATAAGAGTGTTATTTTTTATGTGGTTTTATAAATTTGAATGATGTGTGTGTGAATATAAAAGTTTAGGTATGAGATATGTAAATACATAAAAATTGTGTGCTATGTACATAATGGCCCTATTTAAAATCTTGCATGGTGGTTATATTACCCTGATCCTTGAATCAGTTGCAGTTGCAATTTTTCTTATGTTATATTCACACAACTTCAAGCTCAACATCATCTCAAACGTATCAACATCTATTTCAATTTATTAATTGGCACAATGCTTCGTGGAGTGGATTCAAAACTCCACTGCCACATCATTCTATCAAGCAGCATCAAAGCTCCACGGTAACATTCAGCAGCCTTATATTATTTGACAATTAAAATAAAGAATATTTTTGTTTCATCCAGACAAAAAAAAAATCACAATATAGTGAAGCTAACAATATGCTAAAATGTCTATCCCTTTCTGTGAAGATAAAACTATTCGTTCCCAAAAACCACCCAAATCAAAAGCCTCAGGCCATACATTATCCTAATCCAGTTTGAGATAAAAAAAATTTACAATAAAGAGATCAAGCACTTAATATTAATTTGAATATGCTGACCTTCACATCTGCTCCACCATTGATCCGGTCAAACGCAAAAATATCGACAAAGAGCAGACGTGGTATCCCACAAATTCTTATCAAAACACAATGCATGAATAAAAAATGCCCAATTGTTACCCACTTCATTAAGTCAGATTCCACCAAAGCATTCAGAATAGTAAAATTAACAAGAAATGTTCCCCACAATCAATTCGATCCAACACGAAAAAACTGGGGCAACAAATAAAAATGACGTGGGGCTTACCTGAAGCAGCCCTGCTGTAGTGGAAGGCTGGATTGGCAGGTTTAGCCAAGGGGATTCTCGGCCCAGGAGACTTGTCATTCAAAAAAGAGAAGATCCGTCCTTCCAAGCCAGAGTACAAACTGATGAATAACAAAGCTGACCCAGCCTAACGAGACACTAGTTCATAGTAGAGAATAAAGGGGCACCAATCCAAATTCTCAAATCTATCCCAACCAGGAAGTGTTCCAAGAGCCAATGATTTTGACATATTGAAGCAAATTGCACAACCAGGGGATGATATATTTCACTGAACATGAAGATGTTGAAGGAATGTATAATGACACAATAGAAATTGAAAAAGAAGAGGACACAAAGGAATATCGGCTTTCAACTGATGCGGAAAAAATGTGCATAGTTCCAGCTAAGCACATGAGAGAGACTCTACCTGAATTAACAGTGATTGTCCAAGATAGTCTTGAGTTCGAGGAACTAAAACTTGAGGCATGGCAAATCCAGATCAAAGAAATTTCGACTTTTCAGATCTATAGACTCCTTCATGAGTAGCCTCTACTAAGGGAGGTCAATCAAGTCAAGAATGAGGCCCTTTTGTGCCACGTCTGGAAGATTAAATAGAGTTATTTGGATATTAGATTTAGTTTAGCAGTGTACCCACTATCAAATGTCCAGACAAGAGAGGTGAACCACAGCTTTGAAAATTATCTTTGGAGCTTTATGGGGAAGAAAATCCTCTAATAGAATCCAAATCCTTTCAGAGAATAAGAGACCTCTCCTGAGCGGTTATACTTTAATGTAGTCTAATCTGTCATATATTTCAACCCAGAGTTGATTACTCCTTACTTATTTATCAGATACACTCGGGCGAGTACGAAGAATAGAAGTCAATAACCAATTTCATGGCTCAAGGCTTGATTCATGAGGATACTCATACACGTACAATTCCAATTATGATTGTACCAAAACAGGATGGATACCTAATCTATCAAGGTGTGTTTTGAAATACCAACGCCAACATGACTGACTTACTGAAAGATTACAAAATTTCCACCACCTTCAACGTGGCAACCTGATGCCATACGATAAGGAGACAATAGCTTCGATGGCTGATGTTGAAGCTCCCCCTAACCCAGGGAGATTTACATGGGATCTTACCGCTCAAAATTTCACGGTATTGTAGCTGCTACAATACCACAGGTACAGCCATATGGCGGGAGAGGCGCTGAAATAAGCCAACTTTCCTTTCTTATGCTTTCTTTCTCAGTATCCTTCATTTCTTTATGGTCATTTCTTATATGTGTTGTATTAGAGTTTGGAAGTCAATTTTTCGTGTATTTTATTTACAACAACCGTCGGCGACCATTCTTCTCCCTTCAAAAGCAGTATCCAAGGGATTGAGTGGTCATTCGGTTGTATTCCTCTCCTAAGGTGGCGATTATATTATCTATCCCCTCCGCATCTCTACCACTCATCTCGCATTCCTCCTCGTTGCAGGTCGCCACGACAACAGCTCTTTTGTTGTTTTCTTATAGTTTCCTCAATGTCTGGCCTTTTTCCCTCGCTTCTACTATCCAGAACTGCCTTCCTTCGGTTGTTCGGCTGCGCACCACATTCTCCATCATCGTACCAGCCCTGCATCTTGGTTGGTATCTCCTCTAGCCCATTGCCAAGCTTAATGCCATCCTCCCAACAGCCTACACAGCCCTCCCCATTGATTGTCACCACCTTCCAACCTTCCTCGCAGCCTCCCCAACCATCTATTCAACCTTCGGCTAGCTTCCAACAGCATCCTTGCTGCAGCTACTGTCGTTTTCACCCTTCCCCTTGCTGCCATCAACCCGTACAGCCCTCACGCATCATTCTCCAGTTGTCTACTTATCCAGCCTCGGGTAAACCACTGTCTTGTTGTTTTCTGCTTGCTAATCGTCTTTTCCACCCTCGCTCCTCGTTGAGTGTTTGTGTCATATCAGTTGCTATTTTCTATTTTAGCGTCTCTGATTGTAACATCTAATTACTTGAGTAATAATATTTGTTTTTCCTATTGTGGCTTGGGTTAACTCCAAAATCAATTTGAATCGAAACACTTCTACCGCAATCAAAGTTAACTAATCTTCATTTATCGCATGAAAAGAATAGCTACAATGCGTTCAAATAGCTAAAAATATCCGAGAAATATACCATAACACGGGTTATCACAAGGGAATATGTCCAAATTTATCCGCACAAACAATGAGAAATTGCGAGAAAAGTCCACTAGTCAATTTAAGTTTATTGTTGTTTTTTTAATAATTAAATTTATCTAATAAAATATAATCCTAAATTCCAAAGCCTCCTATATCTCTATTATATCATTGCCTTTCCCATCGTCGCCCTACTGCGACTGAAAACACACCCCATTTGCCCCTCATTATCAAACAAAAAATAACCTAAAACTTGGCCGGCTCAAACACCCTCTCACTGTCTATTTCAATCTAACACCCTATCCTCACCCTCCCTCACCTCATTCTCTTTATATTGAGTGCATGCCAACTCATACTCTCCCTTTTTACTTCCTACCTAGCACCCAAAATCAAGCACCATTCTTCGTGTCTCCCTCTACTCGTTGCACTCTCATGAAACGACATAAACGGCTATCTCTCTCTCTTACTCTCACTCATCACACACACAACTAACATTTTTAAGAGCACAAATCCACATGATCACCCTCTATCTCTGCTCTACCTCAAACTCCCATTCAAGTGCGACCATAACCTCCAAGGTCAATAATGCCAAACCCTCTCTCTTTCCCACATTGCTCCTGTCCACCTCAACTCTCCCTATTCTCCATCTTCCCCTTCTGCTCCGCCTACAAGGGTAAAATATAATTTATTATAAATTATACTACAATTTTTTTCCAACCCCAAAATACACTTTAAACCATTTTTATAGAACCGTACACCTTATTCTTATCAATTTGATATATAGAAGTACACAAATAAATATGTATTTAATCTAGTAAAAATATTTATTAGAATGATTAATTTATTTTAATCTTACTATTAATCTAATTAATGTATATATAAACAGAAACATAGATATTACTCAAGCTCCCTTATTTGCTTTTAATCCATTAGATTTTCTCCTCTACCTCGTCTAATATGCAGTAGGAGTGGGGTAAAACCTAGGGCTGTCATCAAGCCGAGCTTAGTCGAGTATGTCGTACAGTGGACTTGGCTTGATATATTTATAAGTTTTTCATATTTGACTCAAGCTCGAACCAAGCTTTTACATGCATGTTCATGCTTGGCTTATTTAATTTTTTTAATAATTACATTTGATTTATAATTGACTTGTTTAGTTTAACTGAACGAGTGTTTTGATGAGTTAATGAATAAGTTAACAACTTGAACGAGTATTTGGAATTTTATATAAAGTTATTAATAAATTATTTTATAAATCCAAGCAAATAAAGAATCAAATAAAGTTTTAATTAGAATTAAAGCAAAATACAACAATTAAATAAGATAATATATAAGTTACAAGTAAATTTCAGCAATTATTTAATTTAAA